ACAGATACAAATCTATTTTACACAGACACATTCCTATTTACAAATCCAAAAGTTACAAATCTTAATCTACAAATACAAAGTCAGTTTTACAAGTACAAATTCGATTCGACTAAAATCTGTGCCCATAGAAGAGATACAAAACTCGGAGACAGACCTGAAGATGTTGAGGCTCTCATTGGTAGTGACAAGGATGGATAAGATTATGAAATAGTGATTGGTTTGGTGAAGGGGGATGGATAAAGAACTCATGTGAGTGGGGGCTTCGTAAGTGGGCCCATTGCTCTCCCCAAGCTTTATTCAAACCTTTGCATCCCTCAGATGAAGGACACAAGGTTAGAAAAACTTAGTGTTCTGAGCTTCTCAGTATCCATATAAGGTCTCTAATTCAGTGCCACAGGCATTACAGACCACTGTCAGGGAGTCCCATTACCCATCAAATAGAGATAAAGGGAGGAAAAGTTAGAGAGGCCAGACTGAGATGGTTTGGATATGAATGGTGGACATGGGTATATCGGTAGAAGGATGTTAGAGATGCAACTTCCATGAAAATGTCAAAGATGGGAAGACATATGGCGAGGTTAGAGAGAACGTGGACCTGGAGTGAGGACAGAGGGAGATGGAGGATGACTCACTGTGGTGACCCCAGAAAATGGAACAACTGTATAAAGAAGAATCATGGTTATAAGTAATTTGATCTTTAATGCTATAGTTTTGAGTCTAAACTGAAGATAATGTATATGTAGCACATACTGTATGTTTGAAAAATTTCTATTAATAAAAACTGGTGTTTCCACATTTCTTAACAAAGTATTTTTATCTTAAATTCATGATTAATCATCATGTGAGGCACATTAAAGACCTTCTTATGTGGTAGACATGGATTAAACATTGAGGCTGGTGGTTCAAACTATCAGGCTTTTCTGGTAAAGAGACATCTTTGTGTAAACATTCATGTGGAAATGAGGTTCTCTAGTGTCTAATGAGTTGAAGGGGGAAGTGTTTTCCTCTGCGAGCACCAATGTTTAAGACCCAGTGCGTGGCTGGCAGAGGAAGCAGCAGGATAATGAGCAGTCTCTAAAGCCTGAAGCAAAAATTTATGACGGAGGAAGGCCTTGATATAATGAAAGGCCACTGGCTTAAAGTAATCCGCATTTGGACTCTTGGCTTCTAAACGGGTGTTACAGCAGACGGTGACAGCAGTTTAATTAGGTGCAGAGGCATTTAACAATGTAGTAGTAAGGAGCAAAGCTAGAAACTGTATAAGTGTCACAAGGCATCGGCAAAATTTCTAAGTGCAGTATGATTGTTCCAAACACTTATTGATGTATTTATACTAATGATTGTTGATTTGTCCTGTCATCAGACAGCTATCACTTCATGCTTTCAAAGGTCTGATTCAGTGTGCAGAGCCTTTGAAGCAAAAAGCTGTATTGAGTGAATGTGGCTAGTAATTTCCTACATCACTTGATTTAATGAACATTTCAGTCAACTACAGACCTGTGTTACTACCCCTTCCTTTTAATGACATCAACTTTTATGGGAGCTTTTTACTGGCCTAACTGCTAAGGAACAGCAGTATTTACTGCAGACCGTAGCACAGTTTCAAGTTTAGTCATTGTGTCACCAAGGTCTCAATGATTTTATCTACATTTGTCCCTAGAAGTCTTTATTTAATTTAAATTAAGTTGATGAAGGTTTGCCTGTTTTTCTCCTATTGCAAGAGAGACAAGAAATTTGCTATTTGGGGCGTGAGGGGATAGGTGGGCATAATAAAGGTGACTAAAACTATAGCAAAACCTTTCATTTATAAATGTAAAGTTTATAATAAATGAGGTTTTATTAATTGTTTTATTGGTGGATAAATGTAAAGGGTAATGAGGCTATTTTCTGGTCTTTCTTGGCAAAGATGGAGCTGAACCTGAAGGCGAAACTCTTTTCTCACTGATAAAACATTCAAATACTCACCAATGTTGTGAGATGTGACACTAATGAAAGAATGTGATACCAAATAAAATGGCTGAAATGCACTTCTTTCCCACAGTGACCCTGTTCAGCCTTATAGAGAATGTGAGGATGGATGGATGGAAGGATGGATGGATGGATGGATGGATGGATGGATGGATGGATGGATGGATGGATGGATGGATGGATGGATGGATGGATGGANATGGATGGATGGAAGGATGGATGGATGGATGGATGGATGGATGGATGGATGGATGGATGGATGGATGGATGGATGGATGGATGGATGGATGGATGCCCATATAAAAGAATCACACAGAGGTTGAGTCTTTCAGATGGAAACCCATAGAAAAGTTTTAGTGGCTCTTTGAAGGGTAAGACGTTGAACATATTAAGAAAACTGCTTCACTAAAGTGTGCAAAGACTTTTTAAATTCCATCATCAACTATAAATATTATGAAAAGAAACATTTGCATTTAAAAAAGAATAAAAACCTAAGTCTGGCAAAACTTTGGCTCAGCAAGTCTGACTGCCTCTATAATGAATTTCCCTTGTGGGCTCAGGAACACCAAGGTAAACCAAAATCAGTGGTTTATCACTGCATATAAAAGATTTTAAACACTAACAAACAGTTCTAAAAAAATTGGATGTCATTTTAACTGTTAATTTACAATCGGCGGTCTTAAAGTTAATGTTAATCTGCAACACAGCAGATACATGCAAAAAAATTAAAACCAACAAAACATTTAAAAAACTATTAAAATCTTGATTTAATAATTTAGCAAACCATATGACTGTTTAAATTTCATACACTAACTTAACTCAATGCACATACTCTAGGACAGAGGATAAATGAAGTTAAGATATTGTATTAACTTATGTTTGGGAGCAGGACCACACCTCTCACCTTCAGCTAATCAGTCAGTGTCTGTTTAAACTAGCTTCACCTGGGGTTCTGCCCTCAGCTCGCCATCTCCACACCCACCCTCCCCTTTTGCCTCACTTAGGCCCTAAGCATGCCCTCATTGCACCACCTTCCTCACTCCCTACCTTCTTCATCCCTCCATCCCTTCCTAGTCCCTCCATCCCATCCCCATCCCTCCATCACTGCATCCCTTCATCTCTGCTTCTCTTTCTTTCTCCTCCATCCCTACCTCAAACTGCCTCCTAATCYATTCCTTTTCAGGTTCCAGATGGGGGATCCAAAGCTGGCTCAGGAAAAAAACTTCCTTCCTGGAGACCATGCCCCACTCTGAGTCGTCTCCTCAAGCCTCCTTCAATGTACCTCCCCAGATGCCTCGTCATTCATCCCTACTACCCCTCGACCCCTTCCTTCWATAAAACATTTAAACTCATTCCATGGCGTGGTCCTTGCAAGTGACGTGTTCGTTGTTCAGAGCCTTTAAACACACAAACTTATCCATTTCCCTGAGCTTATTGGAGGAGTTGCATTGCATTGCAGAATTGCAGACATAAATTTGTGTTGTGTATCGGCTCCATGTAGATGCCAGAAGTCTCAGCTTGTGTGGGTCCGACAGTTCGAACACTGGCAGGTGAATCACTTAACTTGGCTGTCATCAAATGGCAGATGAGCTCCAATAATATCACAGCTAAATGTCAAGGAATGCATAAACTTTACAGGATTTATGCAATAAATAAATACAAACAGGACATTCATTACCACCATCTGCCAAATGGCTAAAGGCATGTTATTTATTTATTTATTTATTTATTTGCCTGCATATGTGGGCATTGTCTGTCTGTTAACAAAATATCTAACAAAAGGTAAGCATTAAATGTACAATACAGCTATAACTGATTAACCTTTGGAGTCACCTAGATTTGAGACAACAACCACAGTCAATCAGCTTTAGCAAACACAAGAATGGCTACAACTCAGTCACTTTTATTTATATTGAGCTACATTTTGGCACATCTCAGTTTGCAATCCAAATGTTGTTTACACAGAGCAGGTTTTAATGAAACTTCCAGAAAATATTCATTGATTAGATAACTAAATATTCAATTAAAGATGGTTGCCAATGCCAACTAACCTTAGAAAATACAAAAATAAATGCAACCCTGTCAGTTATACATATGTATATTGAATCTAATTTAGTGTGGTGGTAGCTAAGAACCATGCCCAATATTACAGATTGCTCAGGAGCTTTATTTAACATTGTGATGCTGACTGCTAAGAGTCAGACCAGAATGTCTGTGAGCAAATTATCACATAAACCACAAAACTCTAGCAGAGGTCTTCCTGTTCCTCGTGACCCCCTGTCCTGCATGCTTTAGATGATTTCCTTCTTCGGCACACCTGATTCAAATCATTAAACTGCCTATTCAGAATGCCCTTAATTCAACAGAAGCCTGTTAATCACTCATTCATTTCAGTCAGGTGTGTTGAAGCAGGSAAACATCTGGGATATGCAGGACAGTGGGTCACAAGGAACAGGGTTGAAAATCTCTATTCTAAAATGTTAATCATTAGATTCATCTGATTAACTGTTGGAGTCAACCCATTGTAAGATGCTGCCACAACTAATCCACCTGTGCCAACTGAAAAATGGGTATAACTCAGTCCAGATTTACAGATAATGTGTTTTAATTTATCACGGTAGTAGCTGATAGTGCTTAGTACTTTAATTGTGAATTACTAACTTGTTTAGCTAGATTGTGCATACTTTCATTTTTGAGCAACAAATAAAACTGACATTTGTGTTTTCAACATAAGATAATGTTAATTTAAAACTCTGGAATTCAAGGTTACAGGCAACATACATTCCTTTAAAACACATGTGACAAAACCAAGGCCTGTGGGCCACATCTGACCCTCGTTAAGAGTCAGGTCCTAAAGGTAATACTTCAAAATGTAAAATAGTTTCATGGTTTTTCTTTTTTTTACTGTAA